ATTTTTAAAGGTTAGGACTTTCCACTGCGTCTCTTGTTATGTAACATCCTGCTTAGGTCTTATCAGCGCATATTAAAGCACTTTTTCACTAGTTATTTGCTCATCACAGTAAAACAGCCTTCAAACTTGAATTGGATTTCTGACATCTTGTAAAGTAAATGTGAAGCTACCATCTCACTCTGCTGTAGAAAACCATCTCAGACTTGACTTTGCTCAGTAGGTGAGGGTTTCATTTCATCTACAGTGTACCATCTGATAAAAAGATGGCAGTGATAGCCACATATGTCACATCCTCAGCAACGCCTCTGAGAAATAAAGAAGAAACCGTTTTGCACCATTTACATGCTCCTGTTTGCTCATCTGCCATCTTTTCCTCGAAATTTATGATGTGATACCGTGCTACACGTATTGCAGTCTAATCCGTCAAAGCAACAGCAACTCTGACATTTTCAGGGTAGAAACTGAATTTTGTGAACATCTTTAAATGCTCTCGACAAACCTCAGATACGCCTGTGTTACACCTCTGTAAGAAAATGAGGAAAAATTAAATCACCAAATTAGTTACATGGTTTTTACTGCAGGGTGCTGAAAGTTTGGCTAAATGTGCATGCGTATGTATGTGTGTGTGTGTGTGTGTGTGTGTGTGTGTGTGTGTGTGTTTTCCTGCCACAGCTTCCTTATTGCTTCCTGTTGAAACCTGCCCAGAGCCCACAAACAGAACGAGAGCAGAAAAAGCAGACACCAGTATCAGAATACAAAAATTGCATTTATGATACTCCGGCATCAAAAATCTACTTAGCGAGAGCAGACAGCACTGGGCTGCCATCAAGATCAAACGGATACGACTGAAAATCTGCGGCACGTCTTAAAATGTCCTCCAACATTTATGAAGAACCAAACTTGAATACAATTGCGACATACAGCAAAGTGGTCCAAAAGGACGGAGAGGAGCGACTGGACAGAATGGTGGACATCTACGAGAGCGCAGACGCTTTCACTGACCATCGGGTTGATGCTTCGACACGGGATACAGGTATCAAGTACTGTTTTGTTCCAAATGATGTTGTACTTCCTGTTGATTCTAGATTACTTTACATTTTTTATTTTATACTAGGGTTGTCAGAATTAACACGTTAATGCAGATTAATCCATCGTCATGATTAATCTGATTAAAAATTTTAATGCAATTAACCCATCTGCAGCTCAGAATTACTTAAAATCCCAGAAGCATCTCTGGCAACGCATTTTGGGCAGTTTGTCCAAGTAGACTTATCATGGCACAAATGGGCAGTTGATCCGGTAGTGGCAGAGCCAACCAACTCGAAATGAAAGACACTAAACAGCAC